ATGGGCTTTATTGACATGAGTGTTTCTAGAACCTTTGTTCCCACAACATCAAACATTCAAAATATTTTTTTTCCCAAATCTTTGAACAGTATGCAATAATTGTATTATGAACATTAATTGGTATGAAGATTGATATCATTATTTTTATCATTATCATTACTCTGTGGTAACTAAGATCTTTTAAATATGAAATTTAAAATTAGAGAGTAGAACATGTTCAACTAAATGTTCCTTATTTAATTCACTTCTCTTTCTCTCTCTTAGGAGTCAGTGATGATGTTGTCCATGTGTTTGTCCATCCATTGAAGTTCTGTCTATGTGGTTCACGTCATGATCAATTTTGTTTGTGTGTGTTCAAGTTCAGTTGTTATATATTATTTTGTAAAATATTTAGTGTGTTCAAGTTCAGGTGTTATATATTATTTTGTAAAATACACAATCTTAAATCTACCCCCAGAGTCATCCTTGTCTTCCCTCTGTACTTGAAAATGTGGTCCATCTAGTGACTGAAAAGGCTATAACATGATACCTTGTTTATTTTACTTGAGTTATTATAGTATGCTACTTAGACCCAATCATTCATTTCTCAACATTCCTAGGAACCTGGTTTAATTGCAATAAAGAAAGTAGTATGTGGGTGTAATACAACTTAAAAAAAACTCTAATGTAGTTCAAACTGGGTGGAAATACTGCCTTGGTGGCACTTTTTTCGGTCCTCCAAAACTAGGGTCCTGGAAATGCGTTCCTGGGACTGCGGTTCTCCGACTCGGTAGGTGGCGCTGTCACAAAAAACTAGGGTCCTAGAAATGCGGTCCTAGAAGTGGGGTCCTGAAAATGCAGCCTCCGGTACTGCAGACAGATAATATTGGCGCGAGCTCACTAGAGCAGACGCGTTCTGGTTTACTCTAATCGGTCTCGCTCACGAGATCCAGTGAGAAGCGCTTGAATTCAGCTTAGAACACAAATGTCTCAGGGATTTAAACCAGTTTAAAGGCAGATGAAACGGCGCTGACGAACAGGAGAAACACTGTGCGCAACGAGACAGTCGGAAGCTTTTCCGTCTACAAATTCCCATAATTACCATGGATTTAGGCTACTATAACGTTTGCCTATTATATTAACTGCACCATGAAATGTGGGATATACATATTGAAGTGTATTATATTATTAATATAGACAATGTATTAAAGGACTAATGGAATATAATTACAGTATTTAATGTATTTAGGCTATACTGTTTTTCATACATTTCATGAAGAAACGTGCCATCAAAGTCAGGCAACACAAACCTGTTTCAAGACTTGAAACAATATCCCCCATTAGCACATGCAGAAACTAAGAAATTAATTTTCCAATAAAGATATTAATTTTGTTAAGGAAAAATTACACATGTTTGAATGTTCTACCTCAGATTTGTGAAATGTTTACCTGTTTGGCAAGTGTTTGTCATGATATGTTCTGACAATAAAGAGTAGTTTAAAACCACAATTAACGGTCTGGTTTCTACAACTTTCAGTTAGGAGAAGAAATTTTGCCTTTAAACTTGAAAGAAATAAAGAATTGACATTTATCGTGATAATTATCTGTGTTGACTGATATATATTATCGTGATAATTGTTGAGTGTTGTTCCTGTGTTATTGAGACTTATTGAGAAAAGGGAGCCTTCAGTTTGTTACTCTTAAGAAAATGGAACCTTTAAATAATGAAACTTATTACTTTTAATGAAAGTCAATAAAAAAAAAAGACTTTTGAAAGGAAGTTATTTTTCATAATTCGTGTAGGTCATGAATTTAAATCATAATGGTCATAAAAAGGTCTTAAAAAGTCTTAAATTTGACTGACTAAACCCTGCAGAAACCCTGAATAAGGTTCAATTTATTAAAGTCTAGTTAACTACATTAGTTAACATTCTATTAATATTAGTTTCTATGCGGATTTACTCCATGACAAAACCACCCCAGTCATTCTAGAATGATTCATTCTTTCCAAATAGAGCTATTCAAGTCATCTGGTGAAATTGTTTTTATATCGCAACGTCATTTTTTACCAATATGGTGCAGCCCTAATCCTCGCTATGTGTTTTCTATACAGAGATATCGACATCGGTAAATATCGGTATCGGCCATAACAGCAATATTAATATCGGTTATCGGTATCGGCCACAATTTTCACATCGGTGCATCTCTAATTGAGTCATTACGTCACATCTGTACACATAAAGAAGGAGTCTCGGCTAGTAGACTATATTGAGTCATTACGTCACATCTGTACACATAAAGAAGGAGTCTCGGCTAGTAGGCTATATTGAGTCATTACGTCACATCTGTACACATAAAGGAGTCTCGGCTAGTAGACTATATTGAGTCATTACGTCACATCTGTACACATAAAGAAGAGTCTCGGCTAGTAGGCTATATTGAGTCATTACGTCACATCTGTACACATAAAGAAGAGTCTCGGCTAGTAGGCTGTATTGAGTCATTACGTCACATCTGTACACATAAAGAAGAGTCTCGGCTAGTAGGCTATATTGAGTCATTACGTCACATCTGTACACATAAAGAAGAGTCTCGGCTAGTAGGCTATATTGAGTCATTACGTCACATCTGTACACATAAAGAAGAGTCTCGGCTAGTAGGCTATATTGAGTCATTACGTCACATCTGTACACATAAAGGAGGAGTCTCGGCTAGTAGACTATATTGAGTCATTACGTCACATCTGTACACATAAAGGAGGAGTCTCGGCTAGTAGACTATATTGAGTCATTACGTCACATCTGTACACATAAAGGAGGAGTCTCGGCTAGTAGGCTATATTGAGTCATTACGTCACATCTGTACACATAAAGGAGTCTCGGCTAGTAGGCTATATTGAGTCATTACGTCACATCTGTACACATAAAGAAGAGTCTCGGCTAGTAGACTATATTGAGTCATTACGTCACATCTGTACACAATAAGAAGAGTCTCGGCTAGTAGGCTATATTGAGTCATTACGTCACATCTGTACACATAAAGAAGAGTCTCGGCTAGTAGGCTATATTGAGTCATTACGTCACATCTGTACACATAAAGAAGAGTCTCGGCTAGTAGGCTATATTGAGTCATTACGTCACATCTGTACACATAAAGGAGTCTCGGCTAGTAGGCTATATTGAGTCATTACGTCACATCTGTACACATAAAGAAGGAGTCTCGGCTAGTAGGCTGTATTGAGTCATTACGTCACATCTGTACACATAAAGGAGTCTCGGCTAGTAGGCTATATTGAGTCATTACGTCACATCTGTACACATAAAGAAGGAGTCTCGGCTAGTAGGCTATATTGAGTCATTACGTCACATCTGTACACATAAAGGAGTCTCGGCTAGTAGGCTGTATTGAGTCATTACGTCACATCTGTACACATAAAGGAGTCTCGGCTAGTAGGCTGTATTGAGTCATTACGTCACATCTGTACACATAAAGGAGTCTCGGCTAGTAGGCTGTATTGAGTCATTACGTCACATCTGTACACATAAAGGAGGAGTCTCGGCTAGTAGACTATATTGAGTCATTACGTCACATCTGTACACATAAAGAAGGAGTCTCGGCTAGTAGGCTATATTGAGTTATTACGTCACATCTGTTCACATAAAGAAGGAGTCTCGGCTAGTAGACTATATTGAGTCATTACGTCACATCTGTACACATAAAGAAGGAGTCTCGGCTAGTAGACTATATTGAGTCATTACGTCACATCTGTACACATAAAGAAGAGTCTCGGCTAGTAGACTATATTGAGTCATTACGTCACATCTGTACACATAAAGAAGGAGTCTCGGCTAGTAGACTATATTGAGTCATTACGTCACATCTGTACACATAAAGAAGAGTCTCGGCTAGTAGGCTATATTGAGTCATTACGTCACATCTGTACACATAAAGAAGGAGTCTCGGCTAGTAGGCTATATTGAGTCATTACGTCACATCTGTACACATAAAGAAGAGTCTCGGCTAGTAGACTATATTGAGTCATTACGTCACATCTGTACACATAAAGAAGGAGTCTCGGCTAGTAGGCTATATTGAGTCATTACGTCACATCTGTACACATAAAGAAGGAGTCTCGGCTAGTAGGCTATATTGCGTGTGAGGATGCTGGAGGTGGAGATTTATAGCCTTTTCTCACAGCACTTGATATACTTAAACTTATCAATTTGATGGCGGATCCAGAAAGGTTCAAACGACAATCACCAGTGAGAACAGATTCACCCGTTGTAAAATTCAAAAGACTTTGTTCGGACTTCGGAGCGGCTACAGAAAAAAAGAGACTGCAACCGGACCCATGCGAAAACAAGGATACATATCGTAAGGACATTACATGTAGTCACGCAATGCTGACGTTGTTAACATTAACAATTTGAGAACCACGTATAATTTGCACGGTTTTGCGTGATATGATAAGCGATTTTTAGATTTAATCAGCGCGATTTATGTCAGAACCAGAACAAAAGTGGATGTTACTTATTCAGATGACATTTTCCGCTGAAAATTCTTATGTTGGTCATACTTCCAAAAAGAATAATCTGTGATTCTGAATGCCAGTATCCACACCGGCGCGGTGACTGACAGCCACACACTCTCCTCAAACATTGTGTTCATCCGCGCTGTGCCGTGTCGAGGTGATGTCGAAGTACAACTCACGTAAAGTTGATAATTCCGCGAATGACTGCAATTACAGATTTCGAACAGAGATGGCGACAAAGAGGAAAAACTGCGGACTGCAGCTTTAACTTATTATTTTACTTGAGAAAAGAACATGCCAGGGTTAAAAAGAATCAGTGCATTGTTTCATCTGAAGCGAACACTGTATTTCATGGATTTGTAATGTTTGTCTTAAATTACAGTGTGTCTCTGTTTTGTCTTGGTTTTGTTTGTCTTTCTCTGTCTCTTTTTTTTTGTCTCTATTTATGTGTGTGTGTGTGTGTGTGTGTGTGTGTTTGTGTGTCCTGTAGTTAATAGGAGCAGTGCTGACTGCCTGCTTTATATATCTGCTTTATAAAGAAGAGGAAGAGGACTTTTCTGACGTTTGATTGGCTAGTGGCAATATTTGACTCCTGAACCGCTATGCGATGAGAAGGTCGGCTGTTTGAGTTTATGCTGTGTGTGTGTGTGTGTGTGTGCATGTCGATGTGCCTTGTTCCTGTCACCTCATGTCCACCTCATGCTTTCTGTATGACTTATGTGTATGTGTTTGGCATGACACCAGCACTCTTAAACCACACATGCTGAATGCTGCATGGCAAAAAGGAGCAAAACTAATGGCACTGAATAACATTTTATGTTAATCATTTGTATTTTGAGAATTTTTTTTGAAGACATTCAGTTACAAATGCATTTTTGTGAGTCAGCAACTTTCACCTTGGACTGTGCAGACCTGATATAACCTTCTACCTGAAACCTGCTGTGAGACTCCCAGTGTGTCCGATCTATTTCAGACTTTTCTCTTCCTGTCTATTATATCCCTCCCCGCGGACACAGACTGCTGGAAAGGAGAAGTTTCAAAGGTGTCAACATATCTGCTCAGAAAAAGAGACTGTTTTTCCCTTGGTTTTTTGTATCTGCTGATTGCATATAAGTCTCATCTCACAGTTTGTTGTCTGCCGTGCCTTTCTCCTGTGCAGTTAATCCCACTTTTCATCCGGCTTTATTTTCCTCTAGAGTAGCATTAGAAGTGCTGGCAGAGAGCAGTAATACTGCTTCTCACTCAGTGCTTTATGACATGGAGGAGAGATCCATGAAAGACCAAACTTGTTAAAGCTGAAAATGAAAAATGGACACAAAGGAAGGTATTTTGTAGATTTTCTAAGCTGCTCTTTTCCACACATTAATGCTGTTAAGATCCAAAAATGACAAGAGGCATAAAACCACCATAAAATAGTCTATACATTTTGTTCACTATATTTTACATTTGCTCATGTCATATGACAGCATTTGCTTAAATATTTTAAAGACATATTTACACTACTGTTCAAAGGTTTGGGCCCAGATAGATTTATTTCTGAAACATACTTACATTTTTATTCAGCAAGGATGCTTAAATTGATCAAAAGTGACAGTACAGCCATTTACAGCGTTACAAAAGATTTCTAATTCAAATAAATACTGTTCTTTAAAACTTTTAAACCAAATCAGCATATTAAAAGGATTTCTGAAGGATCATGTGACATTGAAGACTGGAGTAATGATGCTGAAAATTCAGCTTTTTCACTACAAAAATAAATTACAAATGAAAATATATTAAAATAGAAAACAGATATTTTTAATAGTAATAATATTACTGTTTTACTGTATTTTTGACCAAATAAATGCAGCCTTGGTAAGCATAAGAGACTTTTGGCAGGTCTTGAACTTTTGAACACTAGTCATTATTTACTGAAAATGTCTCTTTTTGTTGTATTTTTAATATTTATCGTGCATATTTGCATTATAAAACATTCAATTTTGACCCTGTCGACATCAAACATCATTGGTTCTTTTGATTTCAATGATTTAAACACAGTTTTTTTATTGACCCCAAGCACAAATAAAAGTCCCTATTCGTTTTGAATGAAAAAGAGCAGCTCTGACATTCTGTGAAATATCTTCAGAATACTCTTAAAATTCGTATATGGGTTTAGGATTAGGTTAAGTAAATTACATAATTTTTAAGCGATTATACGGTAGTATTTTGTAGGGTTTAAATAGAAAAGGTGAAAAACTGATATTAATAAATCGGTATATTTGAGTCATTTTTGGTTATAAACTAACATTAGAATGTACCCTATTATTAGTCCATAAACTACCACACATTGACACCAACATTACAGTTCCCAGAGGTTGATTTGAAACCTCAAGAAACACTCATATACCAGACTCCGAGATCCTTGCTTGCATGTGCCATGAATGCTCATTTACCCTACAATTAACGCCACATTAACCAATTTAAAGTTTATGGTTTTGCCTATAAAAGTAGGACATTATTAAGGGAAGGAAATACTTGAGTCGAGCTGGACTTCCAGCTCTGGTTTATTTCTGTGTTTGTGGGTAGGATGAGGCTCCATCATTTTTGTAGAAATAATCGCCCACCACAAGCCCTCCCAGGACCTGGCTTCCGATGTGTCTTCGGGTTTGCTTTTTCCATAGAGATAGACACACAAAGCCTGGCTAGATGTTGAAACACTATATATTTTTAGATTATGTTTTGTAACTTGCAGACTGAGTTTATAGAATTGCAGCCTTATATTTTTATCTCCTAAAGATGTTGTTTTCCCCAGGATCACAACAGCTAGAGCAAACTTTACAACAAGGAATGCTCAGACTCCCAGAACTCACCTGTGTGAATCTCAAATGTGAAAATGAATGTGTATGCTCTCTTCATTATGTGAGTTACCACTGTTCTGATTCTGCCTACACACTGTAGCCTCCGTACGAAAACACGTGCACATACACACACTCCCACACATGCTAATTGACCCAATTACAACAACACTGCTACCGGCTGCCGTACACCTCGGTTTCCATAGTAACTGTACACCTCTTCCCTCTTCCTTCAAGCCTTTTATAAAGAGAGTTTCAACAATTGCCACAAGGCCACATCGGACCATGCCTGTGCTTGAATCGACTGAAAAAAATAAATACTGAACATCTATTATTGTTGGGGCTCTTTTTATGAAATGTACTGCTGCTTCATGCCTGCCCAGTATCTCATTCTGTTCCAATTATTTTGAGCATTTGACCAGACAGATGTCCACCAGACTGAGGAACATCTTATCTAGGACCAAACTTCATCATTTTAATGTTTCTTTGATCACATGTTTATGTCTGTGTGTGTTTCAGATATGTGGAATGGTGTTCACCTGTTGCCTGCACAGGCGAATTAAACTGGACCCGTACTGATGCTTGGAAACGTATATATGCCTTTCCTGACGCTCCAACACATACACACACATGGCCTTACTACTGTGCCCATTTAAAACTGCATGACCAAATGCATTTACAGCAACGTGAGGGCTTTATTATCTTTCATTTGCCACATTTTAGACAAATGTTGCTATTGTTGTTGCCTCCTTATGATCATAACAGTTTTAAAAGATTGCACTGTGGTCATTTAGATGTCAAGGAGGCAGTTAGAAATGACATTTATTTTTCACTTTTAATAAATTATAATATTATATAACAAAATATTTTTTTATGAACCACATATTTGTTTTGATTTGCTCATGTTAAATGTATGTAATGTGCTGCTAGAACTCGAACAGGTGTGGGAACCTGCTTATGGGCACAAAAATACACTGGACCAACATCAACATTTATTATTTAGGAGGGAAATGGCGTAATATCCTAAAACAGAGCGGAAAGCATGTCTGTAGTCTTTATATATCATGCCAAATAGGAAGCAAGTGTCTTATTTTAAATCTGTGGATCTGTTCATTAGTTGTTTTTGAATTGTATATCAGTTTGCAAATTCTAAACCATTTAATGCAAATCCTGTCAATTGTTTTACACTTCATGTTAGATAGCCTATCATTTAAAAAGAAAAATGAAGTAGCTTTTTGAACCTTAATGATATCCCTCAGATGGATTGGCTGAATATTATGCTTACTGGATTTTACTGTTATTGAATTGATGAACTCCCAGAATGAGCACTATTCCATCATTGCATTTGCAATACTAATCACAGCTGCAAAATCTTAATGTAGTTGCCACAGCAACGTTGGCCTTTTCGAATTTCAATGTCATTTGGGGAAAAAATGGTTTGGAAAAAGAAAAAAATGTAATGTAACATTCTTGTTTTCTGTTGTACTGATTACAACATGTAATCAAATTGCTTTATGCTAATGACAGATTATGCATATTTTAAAATGTTGGAACAAACATGGTGCAAATTAGCAATCTCTCATCAGAGCTGATTTTAAAGTATGCATTTAACCATCCAATTCAGATAATATATTTAATCATTCATGTGTTTGTAGATCGAATATATATTCATAATGTTATATCACCATTTGCTTTTTGATAACAAGTCAATGGGTTCACTTCATACATTCTTTGCCTTAAGACTATTGCATCCTTTTGTGGGCAGTAGAGCTTTATCTGAAACAGCTGTATGTTTATTGAATGTTTTTAAAAATGTACTTCTAATAAACGTATTTTGTTGACGTATTCTTGTTGACTGCTTGTACTGACACATTTAGCCAGTAGATGGAGACAAACACAAGTGGATAAGCTTGCTTCAAGGACAAGGACTAGAACTCGACTTTCAACTTTAAATTGAAAATCCACCCGGATCTCATGTGCTTTTCTATTAGCAAAGACCCATTGACATGCAGCCACTCATATCCGGATAATAACTTTAATATCCGGATAATATGCAGATCTAGATTGTCCTTACATTTGACCACATAAATTTGTCTCTGTTTTCTGTTTCTGTCAGATAAAAATCTGAATCTGTATAGCCTAATGCTTTTCCCTTGTTGCAAACAAATCTGAGGAAGCTAATTTCCTGGTGCCTTTTTGTGATGTTGCCACAGAATTTCCTCCTTGTTATGGATTTGTGTGTATTAAAGCAAGACTTTGAGTTATTGGTGTTGTCTTGTGTTTTTCTGCCTATTTAAGAGTTTTAATCTTGTGTTGGCATTGCAGCCGCACACATTTTTAACTGTTCTGCCATCCATTATGAGTAAGTTACTGACAAACTCAATTAGGGTGGAGTAATGATGACTTATGCAACTTCAATAAACAGATGTTTTCAGCTCACCCACATGCACAATGTGTTTCAAACCACTTCTCAGTGTGCTTTGAGCAATGCAATTGTAATGCATAGATGCAGTTACTGTCAAGCATCTAACTGATCATTCCAAGATCCATAAAGTGGATCATTGTGGCCAAAATCCCCCTCTGCTCCTGTTGTTTCCTCAGGAAGCCATCCATAACCAAGTAAAGCATTTGAGCAAGCTTAGCACCCCCCACCCTATGTTTAACATTACCAACAAGTGAGAGTGAACAGCTGGTAATACATAACGCTCCTCTCACACACACACACACACACACAAAGGCCTCTTACGTGTCACGCATTGAGCGTGACAGTCACTCATTTCGACACTTTTTGTTTTGTCACGCACTCCCGGCACACATTGTATTTCTCACGCGGAAAAACTATTTATAATATATTTAATATGCCGCAAGGCCCCAAATTTCTCTGGTCGCGCCGCTCTCACGGAACCGGCAGGAATAAAGCGCGTCTCCCCGCCCGGAGGCGATATTTTTTTTCACAGGATGGTAGGGGAAGGAACCGCCTTTTTCGCCTCTGATTGGTTTGAAGGACTCTCCTCCGATTGGTTATTTGATTTGGGTTATTGTGTGTGTGTGTGTATGTGTGTGTGATGGTAGGTTTACGGGTCGGCTAAGTGTGTGTGTGTGTGTGTGTGTGTGTGTGATGGGTAGGTTTAGGGGTTAGTGTGTGTGATGGGTAGGTTTAGAGGTTGTGTGTGTGTGTGTGTGTGTGTGTGTATATGTGTAACTTCTCATCAATCGGAGGAGAGCCCTTCTAGCCAATCAGAGGGGGAAAATGCGGTACCTTCCCCTACCATCCTGTGAAAAAAAATATCGCTCCCCCTGCCACTTATCAGCCAATCAAAAAAAGAAAGGGGCTACACAATAACCAATCAGAAAATAGCACTTTTGTATCTGGGTAAGATTTAACGCAACAACCTATGAAAAAAAAACATATTTTGGAATTGTGAGAATTGTTCACGTGATTCTGCGACAACATTCCGTAAATTTAGTCAGAGACTAATGCTGCGTTCCAGGCAGTTTTTTGAGCACGTAAATCACGACTTCAAACTACGACTCACGACTTTGTCGCGTTCCAAGCCAGTCACGCCAAACTACCTGATTACTACATATACATATAAACTACATATAGCTACCAAATTGTGGTAGCTATATGTAAACAAACCATTGCTGTTTTGTATGGTTTCGCGGGCTATGTGACGTCAGAGCTCGTAACTGGGAGTACATAGATCTAGTACGAGTTTACGGGTGGGAAGTCACAGGTTTGACTGCCGTTCCAGTGCACTTTCACGGGTATAAGGTTGGAAAAACACGGGTTACAGGTTGCATGGAACGCGGCATTAGTTCACCCACAGAGGAAACCACTGGAGCTCGAGCATCACTCTGAGCACAGAGTAAGTCATGATCTCCTGTTTTAATGTTACAACAATTTCACAACTTGTTTGACACAAACAATGACAACTTGACTGCTGTTAGAGAATGTTTCCCAGATAATTAGCATCAGTTTTTCACGAGTGTCTGTAACTTAGCCAACAGTTTTACAGCCTGTTCACTGACAACACCTGCTCAGAACAAGTAGTCTAGGCCTAGTCATATTTTCGTTATCACACGATGACTGATATATTGTCACATTATAAACATCTCTCTCTCCAACTCTTTTGGGTGTCACTCATGCCTGTCTTCAAAACTTGAGAGCCCTGCCACACACACACACACACACACACACACACACACACACACAATTTCAGCTTGTCAATTTGAGCTCAAATCTGAGTAATGCCACACCTATCTGAGCTGGTCAATTTCAGCTAATTGTATCAATGATTTATGGAAAATTATAAACCTGTCTATGTATTGTAAGATAAATATTATTTTCCTATGTGTATTTCAATCAATACCACTGCTTATACATGATTAATTTAGTCAATCTTACATTAGTTACTTTTAATCATGAAAGATACATTTATGGCAAGCCGTTTTAGCTTTAATTGTACCCAGCCTTACTCGTCGTAATTACATTTTTACTAGTAATAATTCAATTAGAGAGCTCTACAATTCAGTTATTACTAGTAACAATTACAATTAGAGAGCTCTCTAATTCGATTATTACTAGTAACAATTACAATTAGAGAGCTCTCTAATTGAATTATTACTAGTAACAATTACAATTAGAGAGCTCTCTAATTCAATTCTTACTAGTAAGAATAACAATTAGAGAGCTCTCTAATTCAATTCTTACTAGTAACAATTATTATTAGAGAGCTCTCTAATTCAATTATTACTAGTAAGAATTACAATTACAGAGCTCTCTAATTCAATTCTTACTAGTAACAATTGCAATTAGAGAGCTCTACAAATGAATTTTTACTAGTCATATGTCTCCATTGACTTCCATTCATTTTTAATTAGAGAGCTCTATAATTGAATTGTTACTAGTAAGAATTACAATTAGAGAGCTCTCTAATTCAATTATTACTAGTAAGAATTACAATTAGAGAGCTCTCTAATCCAATTCTTACTAGTAAAAAATTTCAATTAGAGAGCTCTCTAATTCAATTCTTACTAGTAACAATTACAATTAGAGAGCTCTCTAATTCAATTCTTACTAGTAAGAATGCAATTGCAGAGCTCTCTAATTCAATTCTTACTAGTAAGAATTACAATTAGAGAGCTCTCTAATCCAATTATTACTAGTAACAATTACAATTAGAGAGCTCTCTAATTCAATTCTTACTAGTAAGAATGCAATTACAGAGCTCTCTAATTGAATTTTTACTAGTAAAAAAACGAATTAAAGATATGTATAATTAGAGAGCTCTGTAATTGAATTAGAGAGCTCTGCAATTGCATTCTTACTAGTAACAACTGAATTAGAGAGCTCTCTAACTATAATTGTTACTAGTAATAATTGGATTAGAGAGCTCTCTAATTGGAATTCTTACTAGTAATAATTCAATTAGAGAGCTCTACAATTGCATTCTTACTAGTAACAATTGAAATAGAGAGCTCTCTAATTGAATTAAAGAGCTCTGCAATTGAGTTGTTACTAGTAAGAATTGAATGAGAGAGCTCTCTAATTGAATTGTTACTAGTAAGAATGCAATTAGAGAGCTCTATAATTCAATTACAGAGCTCTTTAATTGTAATTGTTACTAGTAACAATTCAATTAGAGAGCTCTACAATTAAACTGTTACTAGTAAGAATTGAATTAGAGAGCTCTCTAATTGTAATTGTTACTAGTCATAATTGGATTAGAGAGCTCTCTAATGGAATTGTTACTAGTAACAATTGAATTAGAGAGCTCTCTAATGGTAATTCTTACTAGTAACAATTGAATTGTAGAGCTCTCTAATTGTAATTCTTACTAGTAACAATTCAATTAAAGAGCTCTGTAATTAAAAATGAATGGAAGTCAATGGAGACATATGACTAGTAAGAATTCATTTGTAGAGCTCTCTAATTGGAATTGTTACTAGTAAGAATTGAATTAGAGAGCTCTGCAATTGTAATTGT